GCGGCGCGGTAGCGCAGTTTGGCATGCGCAAAAGCAGTGGTCTGTGATGAGAGGAATTTGTTCGAACACTCGACAAAGAGGAGCTGAAGGCGAATGATGTCAGCTTGTATGTGATATTTGTACCCATTACTTGTAACGCAGTTGTGCTTTCTGAGCCTTCGGGACGTTGATGATGTTCAACAAAGGTGTGTGTTTGTTCTCAAGTCACAACCAGGACAAGAAGCTCCTGTTGATGTACTTCCGTCTGGATCACGAGGCTTTGGCAATTGCTAGGCCTTAGAAACCTTAGCCTGAAATGCGCTGGAAATGCAGGGGCACTTCGTGGTGACAGACGGATTTCGTGACCTTGTTCGAAGAAAAGGAGTGCCGCCCAGGCCTGGACTGGACCCCGGTTGCCAAAATACAGAAGCTGCCAGTCAGGTATCGATGGCGAGCATGGCGAGCCCTGACAGGCAGACATCATCAGACTCAAGCTTTGAGATCTGATTGAGTCCTTGGACACTTCGACAGGTTGGAGTGCCTTGTCAAAGCCTGGGTGGTACGAAAGGACGCATGGCGTTTCCGCCCAACCTGTCACATCGTTTCTTTCACAAGTCTGATGCACCCTCAGGTAGCCTCAGCAGACAACACCACACTGATGCCTGTGAGGATCATGAGGAAGCCTCCAGATGGCAAAACAGTCGAGGCGATTGAAAAAGATCTTGACAGGACGATCTCCCTGCGCGCTGCTACCGGGTGATTCCAATTCCATGACTTGCCAATTGCGCAGCATGCAGGACTTTCCCAGGAATAGAAGAGTTTGACGATGGGAAGAAGAGGGAGTTGGCAGGCATCCTAGTCTTGGCTCCGTCAGTAGTTGTGAGTCATTGCATTTTGCTCGCTGATTGCCTTGGACTTGAGGCCGACATGCTTCGGGCACATGCTGGCCTTTTCCCAAGCGTTGCGAGCTTAGTTCAACTCAACATGATTCTGAAACATCATTGCAGCCTTGAATGGCTTGCATGCCTTTCTTGCCTTCCAGTGCTTGGCTGAATCCTGTCATGATGTGCCGGTGTGGCATCACAGTTGCATTCGTGAAAAAGTTGGCCATTCCACAAACATGTCCTTTATATCCCGGACATAGGAGGAGCCTTGCAATGCGAAAGCAAGAGCAGTGACCTGAGCCATTTCAGGTGGGCTACTGTCAAGGCATGAACTTTGTGGCCGGCTTTCTCCTCATGGTGGCTGGACGAGTGCCGGATGCCGCCAAGGCAGGGTGGTTCCACTTGGTTTGAGCACCTTATACTTGTGCCCCAGGATGCTTTCTTCTTGCTGGTGCAAATGATGGTGAAGTGCGCTGAGATATTGCCTGGCAGTGCAACATCGAGGCAATGCACAATCCTGTCAGGTACAGAGCCAACCTTCTGTTTTGCGATGGTCTCCCACTGCTGAAGCTCCATACGCCCTTCCTGCAATTTGCTGCTTTCCCGACAGAATGTCGAACCGCGGATGCATCCTGATGAGTTGATTGCAAGCAAACTCACATGGCAGGTTTCAGTATCGGACCCTGCTTCAGCGGCTCTTTCCAGATGTGCCGTCCTTTCTGCCACACTGATGGACAGATCAATACAGATCACAAAAGCTAAGTGGTTTCAGTTTATGTCTCCATGTAAGGAAGTTCGGCAGGACGTGTCAGTAACATGTTACACACAAGTGCGTGTACGGAAGGGAATGCAAGGGTATGGTATGGTCCGACATGGAATTGAATGGAGTGGTACGTTGATGAAGCGCAACGTAACGTATGTCGTGAGTGTGTCCGATGTAGAGTACAGCGTATGTGATGTTCCGCTTGTGCGATCTTGAATGTATGTAGTGTATGTAGTGTATTTAACACGTGCGCAGTGCCTTCCCACGGCATATTCCGCTGTGGACGAAAACACAGTTTTCGAGCGCAGACGCTCAAACGCTCAAACGCCCACACACGCCTGCAACGCACGGTTGCCAAATGGCAAGCGCGCCCGCTCAAGTGCGCCCGCTCAGCGACTCGTTAGACTAAGACATTCGCGAAAGAGGCCAAGCCAGGCTGAGTCACGCTTAGTGCTGTTGCAGGAGCTCAGGTTTGGGACAGAGCCTCTCTGAAACTTGGCAGCCGCCGAAAAATCTGTTCGAAGGTTTAGATTGCCGGATCTAGCCAGTTCCATAGTGCTGTGAAGCAGCAGGTTTTCCAGTGAAACTGGCGGCAAACACTGGGCACGAGAAGCCTTCGTGAGTTTTTGGCCGATGTCGACTTTTTGCTGTGATGCGCAACGCGGGCACTCCTTGAATGTCCAAAAACTGGGGAGGACGTGTCAGGAGCATAGGAATAAGTCACCGTGCGAGAAATTATCATATATATTTTCCATATGTGCCCTTTCGAGCTCGCCACAGCAAATTCCAGTTTTGATCCACGGCGGATTATGAGACGTGGTCCATGTAGGTAATGTATGTAACTCGGGTACTGTCTGCAATGCATGAAATATGTGCAAGATGTCTGTCCCTTGGAAATAAGAAATAACATGAGTAATACAAAATGAAGAAAGAACAATATAACATATATTATTTCCTGAGGTCTATTATCTTAATTATTGGTGTGCACTTCACAAGCTTTTCTTTCCTCAGATTTTGAGAGTTCTCGTTCTTTTCCTTTCATATCCTCACTTCTCCACCGTTATAGTATATGTGTTACGCGCAACATGTGTACCGAACTTCAAGTGTTTTTTGGAATTATTTGATCCGTGTAATGTCTGTCTTGTTGGAGACGCAACAAGTAATGGAAGTAATTATGTATAAGGAGATGTATGCCATGCAAAAGAAGTAATGTGCTGTAATGTACTACAATGCGCTGTAATGTACTACAATGCAATGTAATGTAATGACCTGTACTGTAATGCAACGTAGCCTAAGATCATGCAAGGTAAAGTATGTAGGCATGAATGCATGCATGCTGTGTGTGCTCATTGCACAACATGTCTGCCAAGCGAGGTTCACAGACACTTCCAAGACAAGCAGATCACTCCAGAGTTATATCTTACAAAGCCTGCAGCTCAGCTTGCGTGTTCAGCATCAGCTTGGAGTCCTGCTATTTGGCTGGCGTGCCTGTGAACAATGCATGTCCTTACCCGAGCAAGCTTCATGACTTTGGGCTCAAAGTTTTGCCAGATGAAATTGCATGAGCCGCGCGGCTTATTCGGCATCCACTTGAGGCCGGACAGGTACTGTAACAGTATGTAAACCTGAAACGGACTTTGACTTACAAAGACGTGACAAATGAGAACTTTGACATGTATTGAGCTGCTTTGCCGTCCTGGCAGGACTTCAACGTGGACAAAGTGATGGCCACTAGGTTGACGTCGTTCTTTCTGTCAGCGGGCAGTTTTGCTCATGCACTGTGCCCCAACGATGCTTGGCTGCACATCGTGAACTTGACGTCCCATGTGCCACAGCAGTCAGAAATGCTTGCTCACTGGCTTGCTATACTGGAGGCAGGAGTCGAGATGCATGGGCGATGTTGGTATCTTGGAGCCGAAGGAGCCAGCTGTGGCCAAACTTGCGGAGCGCAGGCCCATTTCTGGCTGATTACATGCATGCACAATCACCAAGGGATTCGACAGCTCGATTGAGTGCCACTCAGTTCATGTGCTTACAGGGCCTGGCATACGATCATTTCGTAGCGCCGGATGCTACACCAATGGTGCCAATGTTATTGGCGCGCGCTCCACGGACAAAGCAGCTGTTGGGCTGCACTGAACATTTTACTTTGTTCAGAAGATTCTCGACCTGTTTTGTATTTGTCTCTGCAACTACTGAGGTTCGCATGGGGAAGGATTGAATGCTATGTTCCAAGTGCTGATCGCTATCACACAGCAAAGCCAAGCCCAAACCCAGACACAGGCGACTCAGGCGCCCCGCAAGATTGGTCCGCAGCTTGCCTGCAAAAGCTCATGTGAGTGCTTCATTCTGAGAAGATTTGGTGTTGTGTGTAGTCGCGAATCAAGTTCCTTTAGCAGGCCGCATTCCTGGGAAGCTCGCAAACCAGGAATTGGGATCACCAAATGCAGCGGAAGCAATATTATCAGCAACAAAACCACAAGATACAGACCATAAGAAACATTAGCGGACAGTAGCGGCAACACCAGTAATCAACATTACCCACTACATGGGTTGTCATGCATGATCCATGCAAGACGCCCTTGCGCAACGCGTCACTCCTTGCAGCAAAAACATCATTAGCGCGATGCCAGAAGCATCACCTGTGTTCACTGGCATTGCCAGCATCCTATTCATCAGCAGCAGCATTGATGGCTTTCCTTGGCACTAAAGAGTGCTAAAGGTGATTCAACCCAGGGAACGTGGACAGCATGGTCATGCAGGTGTGTTGCAACCAGGCATTGCACTCTTTCATTGTAGCCTGCTTGGATCTAGCTTTCACTTGCGAGTGCGAAGATGTTCGCACAATGTGGTTTTTGAGGCAGGAGCCCAAACGAGTGAGCTTAGCTGGTTTGGGCATTGGGACTACCGGCTCACAAGGCGGACCCTTCGTGAGTGTTGCCGGAGATCAACAGGCACTGGGAATGCTGGTGATGCATACAAACGCGACAGTTAGGAAGGAATCTGGATTGGTATGTGGAACAGATTGCACTTGGAATAAACCTGGATTTTTGCTGCAGAGCAAAGCGGCCGGCTTTGGCAAGCAGTAGAAGAAACACAAGTTTCCTGGGTGCCAGTAATGCCGACGCAGGGCTTGGAACATAGTTTGCTGAAGTCTACCGACTCTTCCAACATAATTTGCAGCGACATACTGTGTAAGGTCAGCATCTGCCGTGCAGGACTCAGTCCTCCTTAGGCTCTGGGTTGTCAGCACCAGGACAATTTTCAACGCACGCACATGTTGGAAAGCAATGGTTTGTGCCAGCTCTTCCCAGGCCTTTCCTGTGCCTGCGCTGGGAGCGTATCTGAATCAGCTGGATTTCCGGAATGTATTCAGCCAAACGTTGTTTTACGACATGCTGGGGCACACGTGTCGACCTTAATTGGACAGTCGCCAGAGAAACCCAAGTTCTTCTCCCAGCGAGGCGATCTTCACAGACGTCAGTATCCACGGAGCTGCAGGCACAGCAATAAACTTTTCCGGCACATATCCCTGAATTGCGCCTGCAACACTGTAAGAGCGAAAGTTGAAGGGCCCTCTAAGGCTGCTGGCAGAATGACTGCAAGAACTCCGACAAGTTTATTGCTGACACTCCTGCTCTTTGTGCCCGTACTTGTGCAGAACTACCTGAATGCACACACTGGACGTGCCAGTGCATGCATGTGGACTTTTGTTCTTTTGATTGTGGCATCCCAGCATTTGCATGAGATTCCTGCTTCATTGAGGTTTGGAGAGCAGGATGGTCCTGCACTGAGAGTTTCACATGAACATTTGACAGACAATCTTTGTGTGACCACCAAATCAAGGTGCGAAGAAATGTTTTTTCCGAAAATCTGATGGTGGCCGCGAGACACTGGAGGGCTGGTCTTCAGGTGGGGCGAAGCTTTCAGCAGTAATGGAGCTTTGACTGTCAGACAGATAGCAATGTTTCATGGCAAAGAACATGCAGCTTATTTGCCCGTTTGCGCGCAGGGCAGTCATCCGCCTGCCCTGGGTGCAGGTACAAAAGGGTGTGCGCCGCCAGCAATGCCTGAAGCGTTTCAGGCAGCACATTTGCCTTGAGTTTCTGAATTGAGTGCACAATATTTCTGCAAGCAGGCCTACAAAAGCGGAGAGCTTTTGAGACGGTGTGATGCCGCTCGACAGACAAATCTTCATGGCCATTTGAGTCACGTTTTTTGCGCCAACCAATCTCAGGCCGGCTTGTCCGATGCGTGTCCGGATATGGCGAGGGCAGTGAACACCTGGCAATATGCCATTAGAAACCTCAAGAAGGTGCCGATACCAAAGGTTTACTGCACAGTTCGGCTTGCTTGGCTTTCTTCGCTTTGGACGAGTTGAATGGTGACAGATCTTGAAAGGCGGCTGCCCCAAAATTGGATGCGGGTACCATGCAGTACATCACTCAGATTGAGGCGCAGTATTCACGCAGATATGTAGATGGCAAGGCTTGAACTGGCATCAATTCGCCCTGTAGGCGGACACCAATGCCTTTGCAGCTCAGATGAGCGATCAGAACTTTCCTCTTATCATGTCCAACAACCGGCAGGCGTGGATTGGAATTAGCGATACATGCTCCATCAGCAGAACTCATACAACGCAAGAGGTATTCAATGCACTGCAGTCATGGATGGACAACCAGCCAAAGGCCGGGAGGGATTTACTCTGAAGGCCTCTCGAGTGTGCGGCGTTTTTCAGGTCGATGTTGATGTGATGGATTCCTCTCTTCCATTGCCGGTGCGCGGGAGTTTCTGTGGACCTGTCGCCTGCTACGGAAGCTTGCCAAATTTTGGCATGTTTGCACATGGTTGCACTCTCTTTGTGTTTATGCTTTGCTTGAGCTTTTCATTTGCGATGCAGCTTGCGCTGCATGCGGTCATGTGAGGAGCTGCCTGAAGCTACTGAGCAAGGCAAATCGCAGAGATGCGCAGAGGCAAGCAGCATGGAATTGCACTTCGCCCACGATACTTTTTTCAATCGATTCGTTTGCCATCCAACCTTGAATGAGGCCTTCGCTGTTGATGCCTTTGCCAGTGCATAGACTGTGGCACTCAAAATGAGTTGGCCCACAACACTTGGGATCAGTTATGGGAGGCAGTGCTTAGCCAGAGCTGTGCCAATGCCTGGCACGCAACGTGCCAGCCATTCAACTGGGAGCTCAAACTGTTGCAGCGGCAGCAGAGCTCATCGTGTTGTATGAATGTGTGTTGGCATCAAAGACTGCCGAAGCCTTGGCGCAGGCTTGCAAAAAAAGGGATGGCATTGCAGAGCTCTGTCAGAGCAAGTTTGTGCAGAAACCACAAGTTTGCCTTCTTTTGTTTATCATGCCTGGAGTCTGTTCCTTGCAGGTGGATTCTAACGATTTTTACCCAGCCTTTGAGCATTCCATCAGCGGCACGTCTGCCTGCCGACTTGCGCCACTTCGTCAATTTGCTTGGCTAAATGGCTCTGATGGCAGGCGTTTGGGATCTCATTGTGTGCGACGGCCTGCAGGCAATGCTCCCACCGCGTGCGTTCACAATGCAAGTCTTTGTGCAAATGACTCGCCGCTTTGTTTTGAGTGAGGCTGTGGTCCTTATCGCCTTGGCAATCGTCAAGCTGCGAAGGTCTAGGCCAGTTGAAGGAGGCTGCAAGATGCTTGTGGTGGAGCCATATGCAAGGCTTTTGCAAGAAGATACAGAGGGCATCCTCGACATGCTGAGCATGAGAGCGGGTGAGCCCATTGCTGGAGGCGTTCAGGGGCGAATGGCAATGACAAGAACTTCGTTGCTGAACATGCGTGTTTACATGCAGGTGACATCGTCAAAACGGCATTGGCCCTTGAGTCACAGATTGCGCACGCCCCTCAGAGCTTTGCAGGCAGCACCTGTATCCAGTTCACAACTCGACATTTGCTCTGCGACCTTGCAAGCGGGCAAGACCTTACAGTCTATCCACACCTACTGTACCGTCTCTCTCTCTCTCTCTCTCTCTCTCTCTCTTGCCCTACTGATCATTGGCAAGGATGATTTGCAGCGTTGCTGCTTGAGGCTTGTGTGAAGGGTTGGTTTAGGGGCTTAAGGGTTGTGTCGTTGTGGGGCTTTGGGGTGTTATGGCTTTTGTGTTTTGGGTCTTTTGGGGTTACCTATTCTAGAGTTTAGCCCCAGGAGTCAAAGGCTTTAGCATTTGAGTGGAGCCTGACTTTACCCCCGCCACTCCAGGCACAGGCATGCAGAAATGTTGATGTTTGGAAGTTTCAGCGTTAGCAAAGCTTCAGGTTGGCTGGGGCAAACGATGGATATTGGTCGCATTGTTATCCCCGTCGTCAACCAAATCCGAAACATGACTCTGCCGAACCGTTGAGCGTTCCGGAGCAACGCTGACGTTTTTGTTGTTCAGTGCGGATCATGCTGGCTGGGTGACTGCCATCAAGGTGCTAGTTTCAGGATTTGTCAACTTCCTGTGACATTGAGCTGGATTTCCAGGATTATTTTTTCCCGAAAGCATCGCGAAGGGTTCTTCCGCGCGGAGCTCTCGGACCAACTTGCATAGAGTCACTTGCGCAGAGTCAAATACATGGAGCCAAGTGCATGGAGCCAAGTGCACAGAGCCGTGCATAGAGCCAAGTGCATAGAGCCGAGTGCACAGAGCCGAGTGCATAGAGCCCAGTTCATAGAGCCAAGTGCACAGAGCCAACTGCATAGGGCCAAGTGCATAGTAGAGCCAAGTGCATAGAGCCAAGTGCATAGAGCCGAGTGCACAGAGCCGAGTGCATAGAGCCAAGTGCATAGAGCCGAGTGCACAGAGCCGAGTGCATAGAGACGAGTGCATAGAGCCAAGTGCATAGAGCCAAGTGCGTAGAGCCAAGTGCGTAGCTTCGGCGTTAGCACCTATGCAAGTTAAGTTTAGCTTTCTAGGGCGCCGGGGCAACACTTTTATCGTCGATCGGGTTTGCGACCCTCTGCAGGGATCGGCGTGGTCGAGGTCAAAAACTCAAGGTTTTTTGAGATTTCTGATCTGCCCGCGCGACCCTCTGCGGGGATCGGCATGGTCGAGGTGCAAAAACTCGAGGTTTTGCGTTTTTGCGGCGCGCGGATGAACCCTCTGCGGGGATCGGCGTGGTTGAGGTGCAAAAACTCCAGGTTTTTTGCGATTTCTGATCTGCCCGCATGACCCTCTGCAGGGATCGGCGTGGTCGAGGTCAAAAACTCAAGGATTTTTGCGTTTTTGCGGCGCGCGGATGAACCCTCTGCGGGGATCGGCGTGGTTGAGGTGCAAAAACTCGAGGTTTTTTTTTGTTTTTTTTTGCTTTTGCGGCGCGCGGATGAACCCTCTGCAGGGATCGGCGTGGTCGAGGTCAAAAACTCAAGGTTTTTTGAGATTTCTGATCTGCCCGCGCGACCCTCTGCGGGGATCGGCATGGTCGAGGTGCAAAAACTCGAGGTTTTGCGTTTTTGCGGCGCGCGGATGAACCCTCTGCGGGGATCGGCGTGGTTGAGGTGCAAAAACTCAATTTTTTTTTGCGATTTCTGATCTGCCCGCATGACCCTCTGCGGGGATCGGCGTGCAACAGCTCGAGGTTTTTTGCGTTTTTGCGGTGTTCGCGCGATTTTCTGCGGGGATCGGCGTGGTCAAAACTGGATTTTTTTTGCGGGGATCGTGCGTGCTCTCGCTGTGGCACCGTGCGAATTCGTTTTAGTTCTGGGCAAACCGTCTGCGGAGATCGTGCGTGTCGAAGCGCTCTTGCTGTGGCGCCGTGCGGTTTTATTGATCGCGAAATGGCCTTTTGAAGTTTTCGATTCCCCCCTGGTCCGCGGCAGCTCCAGCTCGCAACTTTTAAGGATGAAAGTAGTAGGCGAAGTACACTTTCGCAGCTCCGGCTGGAAAATCGTAACTTTTAAGTACTAAAGTGTTTCGCGAATAGAGGAAACTTGTTCAGAGCAACTTGCTGAGAGAACTTGCTTGGAGAACTTGCTCAGAGGAAATCGCGCCGCAACTTGCTCAGAGAAACTTGCACAGAGAACCTGCTCAGAGGAACTCGCGCCAACAACTTGCTCAGAGCAACTTGCGCAGAGAACGTGCTTGGAGAACTTTCTCAGAGGAACTCGCGCCAACAACTTGCTCAGACGCGCAACTGCGCGGAGAACTTGCTAGGATTGCTAGGAGAACTTGCTGCCGCTGCACTGCTTTCGGGCCACCCATCTTCTAGTTGTAGGGATAGCTCGAGTTCGCAATTCCATTGCTGGGGAATATCGCCGTGTCTCAGGCTCTGAGCTCCTTTTGGTTGCTCAGTGCGCCCAGGCAAGGGAGCATCAGTGATGGTAGCGGCATCAAGTGGCTCGGCAGCACATTTCTTATTTAGACGAAACAGTCTTTGGCATCAGGTCGAGCAAGCTTTTTGCAGAGTGGGAGACCGCGTGCCCTTCTGAAGTGGCGGATTTCCGAAGGCCCCACGCTGCAGGTTACATGCGCTACATTCGATGGTGACGTTTTGCCTTTCCAGGGCAGAAGCAGACATATGCTCGGCCAGGGATGCCGCGCACTCGGCAGATTGCTTGTTCACTCGAAGTGTCCACCTCGGACGTTGCTTCCTAGGACTGGTGCCTTTCAGAGACGTCTCATGAATCTGAATGCGGCAGTGTTGAGGGTGTGCCAGCACCTAAGTGCCTGATTGGTTGACAGATGTTGACAGCTTCAGTTGGCAGAGAAGTGCAAAGGTCTGAAGCCCAGGGCCCATCAGATGGAAGCATCGGGTGGGAAGTGACTCAAGTTGCGTCGATGGCCATGCTGGAATGGCAGGCCTGCGAGTTCTCCTCCTTGCACTAGTATTGCTCCAGTATGCTCTGAAATGCAGGCTGGGAACGGTTGATCATTGTTTAGTACTTATTTGTTTGTTTTAGCTGATGCTTGTGACTCACTGGGGGATGCAGCTGAAGGGCGGAAGCATCTCTCCTGCTTTTGATGTTAAACATGTAGGTTGGTTGGGCAGGGGCTGTTTGAAGTCTGAACTATCCTGAGCCGCCTGTACCTGCAGCCTTGCACTCAGATCTTTTGCCACCCTTTTGCCACCCTTTTGCCACCCTCAGATCTTTGAGCCCGGTCTCTTGTACCATTTTCCCTGAGACCACCATATGAAAAGCGATACGGACCGGAATGAATACACTCCAAGCAAGTATAATTTTGACGCTGGCTCAATGTGAAGCCTTGTCTGGGTTCCTGGTATTGATAGATATGATGTTACTTGACTGCAGGGCTTCTCACTATCTCAGGAAGACTTGTGTGGAAGGGATGGCCATGCCTTTGCGAGGGCTTTGCGCTGAGCAATTTCATTGCTTTGCTCAGAGCTTCACGCTAGGGCCTTTGCTCAGGAAGTTTGAGTTGACCGGCGCTTTTGTGACCCACAAGTCTCGTGTCCGGGCAACGCAGAACACACAACGTGTGTGGTCCTATCAGATGCAGCAAATTTCTGGGCAGCGCTCCATCTCCTTCTATGTGTCTCCCGCTGTCTCTGCCTATCTCCCTCTCTCTCTATCTTGCTGTGTCTTTCTCTCCCTCTCTCTCTCTCTCACTACATCTCTCTCGCTCTGTCTCTCTCTTGCCATCTCTCTTGCTGACTCTCTTTTTCTTTTTTCTCCTGCTCTCGTTCTCTTCTCTCCCCCCTCTACTCGAGTTTTGCCGAAGCTCCTTTCTTCTCAGGTCTTCAGTGTTGGTAAAGCGCAATAAGGTAGCTGCGAATTCACTGGCTTCTTGCTCTGCGAGCCAAGCAATGTTTGAGACACTGGAAGTTGACTGGCCGTTCCCGCGAAACAGCTCAAAGAGACCGGATCCGACATGAGCAGCGGTTTTGAACGTGACGCCTGGTTTGTCAGCGTCTTATCTGTGACCAAGTCCTTCCAGCAAGTGAGCCGTGTGTCTGGACGTTTGGTGCTAGAGCTAGCATTTTATTCTAGATTGGCAATCACATTAGCCCCTTCCCTGGCTTCCCCTTTGTTCCGGAAATCCCAGTCGATAGGGTCACTGACTTGCATCGTGTGTCTTGTGCCCCGCCTCTGCCGTTTTTGCTTTTGCCAGGAGTTGCCGGTTGCTGAAGGCCTGTGGCATTGACTGAAGACGGGAGTTGCAATCCAATATGTTGCAGGGGGTGAGGCGCGAGCCCAGATCCTAGCATGGTCTGGATGTAGTTGAACACAGTCGTTGGAACCACTCAAATTGGGTCTACACGGTTTCAAAGGCAGGCACGCTAGCACCCGCTAGCACGTCGAGCAAGCCAATTTTAAGTAAGGACACAGTGCATATTCTAGGGTCGGCGTCCTCACTGCCTTTTTGTGCATGAATCAGTCGAGTTTTGCTGTTGCTTTTGACGGCTGAGGTGTCCCACCATGCTATAGCTGCAGAGGCGAAGGTGGATCTCCGCATGATTTTGACGCTGGCTTGGAGTTCAACATGCGGGCCAATGACTCATATGTGTATATTATATGTAATACATAAACCAAGGAAAGAGGCCTTGTGGCCAACATGGTATGTCACAAACTTAAGATGTGTCCCGCTTCTCCAGACCCTGTGGAGCCCAGATGCAGAACGTGCATGCCCGGGTATCAACCTGGATGCGTCCAACTAGCTCGCGGCACCAGACAGGACAGCAGACGGCAACAGGACTGACAAAGGCCGAGATAATCGCAGAGCAAGTGCCAGAAAAAAAATTTCCAGGAGAGCAAGAAACAGAACATAGTGCAGAGCAGGTACAAACAAGCACAGCTACCGCAGGATGATCACAGAATCAGACAGCCATGGAAGCTGAACTGAAAGCAGACGCGAAAACAGGCAGCAGCATAAGCAAGACGGAAGAATCAGCACGACACTTGACAGAATCGCCTAGGTCCCCCCGGGTGCGCTGCGTGGCACGCAGCGCGCACGAAGCGCACAGCATGTTGTGAAGACACAACCTGACACAACTGCGCCTGGAAAAACGCACAGCCACAAGCACCGCCACCAAACACAACGCAACACAAGTAAAGATGCAATCCCCATCTGCAACAGAACTGGTGCATCCCCAGCAACCCCCAGCATCCCCCCAACAGCCCCTAGCATCAACGCTTCACAAAACAATCAAGCCCAACCAACGAACACAAGCAACCAACGCAATGCAGCACGAGCGCGGGACACACTGCCTGTGAGGTCAGTCTCGAATTGTTTATATAAGTATAAGTTTAGAAAACGGGTCTCATCATGAAGGGTAATGGGTTGGCCACCCCATTTGCTGTTGAGCAGTAGGTGTTGTACTTGGAGGTCTTGGGGGGTCGGCCCAATGGGCAATACGCTGATACAGAGCCATAGCCAAACCTTGAACCTCATTTTCGAAAAGACCAAGCCGGACACACAACAAGTCAAGCCAAACACAAACATTTCAAGCACAGACACCAGCTTGATCGACAGCACCAACCACCGACCATGCCAAAGCACCAAGACTCCCAGCGCCCGTCTGCCTGCCCGCCAAAGAAACAAGCAAGGAGTCAAGCCAACAAACCTGCAAGCTCGACATGGTAAGCCTGCAAGGCTTGCAAGGGCAAGGGCGGACACAGTCAAAAGCCAGAGCAAGAGCATTGAATGTTTTCAACAGCGCACTGGCACTCGGTTTGATCAGGCTTGTCAACAAGAGGTGTGTTGCAACACCTGCACCCAGCGGCTAGGTTGCGGTCAATCCGTCAATGCCACTGCGAAAGCCATCTAGGCAAGGGAGCATGGCTAGCTTGTCTCACTAGCACATGGACCGTCTCAGCCTTGGAAGGTCTACACCGACAAGGAGCAATGGCAAGCGTAGCACAGACACCGAGCGTCGCTCCCCAGGCAAGCTTGATAGAATTAACATGCAATGGCATAGATCAAACTGAGCGTTTAGAGCTGACATCCCGAACAGGAAATGCTCCAAAGCGATCCTCGTCCTTGGGCTGCCTTGTGGGGCCGCTACAGCAAGCTGCCTAACCCAAACCTGTACTGATGCCACCATGCCGATACAGAGTTGACGACTGCAAGGTCAGGAGGGCCTTTGGCAACCGATGGGGATCCACTTTGGAATTCTCCAAAGTTGGCTGTGTGCTCAGAGTGTTTTGCACATGCTCAACGGTCTTCTGCATTTCCCATACTATCAGAAACGGCGCGTCCACTTGCTATCTGATTGTTCAGAGTCAGCGGCTCTCAGCCACAAGTGACATCAGGGCGTGATTATGGGTGATAAAGAGAAAAGAGATGGAAAGAGAGTGAGGCTCTCTCTTTCCCATTCACCTTCTCCCTTCCATCGCCTCCATTCCTATTCCTTTCTTTCCAACCCTGTATTTCATATCTAGTTTCTATCACTTAGGGTTGGGAAAGGAATACAGGAATGGGAGATGACTGGCTGGCTTGGGAAGCCTTTTTAAAGCCAATCTTAAAGTTAATAATAAAGACACCAAATGAGAGAGGCTTCATTCACTTTCGCTTTTGGGGAAGCCTCTCTACTCATTCGTTTGACCCACCAATCAATTATTTCTTGCCATGGGTCCATCTCTCCTAACACTACCAACTCCGCATTTGGAGCAGTCTTGGTGTGATCAGCGGTCCAATTGCTCTGGTGCATGTTGCTTGGATGTTAGGACTTTAACTTTTTGCCAACTAATGGGTTTTCCATTAAACCACGAAACGTTAAACTTTTAGCAGGGGAGCAGAAAGCAACCGAGATTTAGTCATACACAAAGGAGCCTCAGCCAGGTTTTGGATAGAATACCGCGAGGGAAACTAGCAGGTGAGCGACTTCTCTCACGCGTAGGGGTGCGCGGAGTTGCTTTTTGGCATGTGCTATCAGGTCAGAGGTAGCTCCGGAACGAAGAAGATGGACTTAGCTGACGCGCGAAGAGAGGAGGCATGTGTCATGCTGGGAGGAATGGTTCACTGATTGAGACACGTGAATGACCTGCAAACTGCATGTCAGCAGAGGCCTCGGCACCCAAGGAACTTAAACCTTTTTATTTTCAATGGAGGGACACCCTTTTGATAGGACAAGCCACACAGCCATTTTTTTACGGGTCCCCGATTTTTGGGAAATATTCATAGCGAGCGAAAGGCAGAAGGTCTGGACACTGCTCATTGATCGATGTTTTGCTTGATCTATAGCATTGGCCAGCATCCCGTTGCCTGCTTGCCACTATCATCGACACACAAAGCAAAACACGTGGGTGACAAGTCACAAACATTATAGTGTGGCGCGCACACACACGCACACACACACACACACACACACACACCCTCAGAAATGCACATTTCAAGATTTGCCCCTCGAAGCCACTCTCTGAGTTTACTTGTTTTGGTCCTGTTTATTTCTGACATGATTTTTTTGACTCACTGGGTGATTGGGAATGCAGATTCTTGGGGCACTCAGTCAGGTGATGACTTTGTCGGTAAAGTGTCACCGGTCAGTTGTGCAGGCAAACCACAGACGGACACAAGGCACTGCAGGCTGGTGCAAGCTTGTCGCAATCAGCTCTTCTTGTTGTGCAGTGGCGAGGTCGTGATGCCGGAAACCGTGCACTCAAGGTCAGACTCGGTCAGACTTGCTGGTTTTGACTGCTTTCTTTTGTCCCTTGCTCAAGCTTTGAGCCGAGGCCTCTGGATCCCCGCCAGCTCCGGCGCCTGACATTCGTCGAGGCAACCGGACGCCAGTGAGGACCCTCAGCAATGGATCCTGGAGCCTTGGGCTGCAGCTCAAGGCATGCTTTGCGCCAGCCATTGAAAGCCAGCTTGCCGATTCCCTTTGCTCAGCGCCCGTATCTGCTCGGCTTGAACCTGCAACTGCACATACCAACAGCGTTTGAAGTTGAATGCTGTGCAATGTGCTTGCTAGCGCTTCTGGCGGCGGCAGTTGTTCAAACCTTTTCCGCGCAGCTTCTCGAGTTCTAGTCACTAGTCGGCGGACAATGCAATACGCGATTTCTGCAACTTTGCTTCCTGGCCGGGAATCTGTTTGACGGCGCAGGTTGCCCATGTTTCTCTGTTTCTTTTTTGTCCCTGCAACTTTTAGGCTGAAGTAAATCTGAAATCAGTAAGGACATCGGGCATTGCTCGAAGTCGAAGTGGACTTGACTTGGAGGCTGCTGAACCCGTTCGAGACTTCGGGTGATGGAGTGCATTTGCCCCTGCATTCATCGTACGGCCTAAGTCAACATTTAATTTGCAGATTTGCCAAGGCCAAGTATCGTAAAATCCGAAACCATCCAGCAGAGGGGAGGGTGTCAATCGCTAGATGTCGAGCGCAGCTCTATGCAGGTTGCTGATGAGCACAGAGGCGCTCTTCTCAACCTTCAACCCCTGCTAGTGAGTCCTGCTTGCCAGGCCTGGAATGCAAGGCAATTCCTGTAGCGAGAAAATCTCGCACCTCTCCAGTTGGGTCAAATGGCAAGCCGCCGCCCTCTCCAGCACTTGCCTTGTATTTGCAGAATTGTGCAACAGGGCGACTCGCATGGAGAGCGTCGAACATGTACGCTGTGCGTGTGCATTTTGGCAGATGCCTTTGAGGCGATGAGCTCGCGTGAGATATTGGAGGACTTGTCAATGCTGGCTGCTTAGAGACTCAGAGAGTGGGGCTGAGTGCCTTTGGCATCCAGGCATGGGCGCACCTGGCCAGAGCCAATGGCTGGTTTGATCGGAGGGAAGGAGGCGGCTTCTAGCACGTTACTGCTTCGCAAATCAGCGTTCAGCAGGCAAATGCTGGCACTGCAGCATCAACACCAGCCCCATTCACCAGGACCAGGCTTCCTTTTTCCTTTTTGTGTTTGGATTTTGACATTTCCTGCTTTGGCAGCACAGGTCGAGAGGGGAAACCGGCGCACACGAGCCAAGTCAATGCGGCGGCTTGAGGTCGGAGCCCAGATTTCTCTTCAAGGTCCCCATGAGAGCTGATACAAATGCTCACCAATCCAGGGGAGAAAGTACTGAGCGAAGTGCCAAGTCGCCTCATGTCTGGGAAGAGGAGAGACTTTCTGCCAAGTCGCTTTCCAGCAAGAGATTCGCTGTTTTCGGTCCGTGTGAGGACCGAAGAGTGCGCAGCCTGTCTCCAAGAGGAGATCGAAGCCAGTCTCCCGCTGGTAGGCGGGGCAACCTTGGCACCTCCTTGCCCCTGCACGAGCCTGGGACAAGTCACCGCAGGTTGCGCGCGCAAGATGTGCAATCATCTCCAGCACGTTCAAAGACCTTGCAGGCATCGATTCCGCTGGCTTTGCAAAGGTGCAACCTGAGAAGTTGAATTAATCATTGCTTATGTGTATAACCTTTAGCTGTAACCGCAGTGGAACATCAAGTCATGATGTTGGGAACGTCGGCGATGCTGGGGGATGGCTGGGCTCGCTCGAAAGGATGCAGGGGATGCATGGGATGCATAGGATGCAGGGGATGCATATAATGCCGGGCAGCACAGCACCTCGTTGTTATGTTTCCTTTGGCCGACATTAGGATGGGCAAAAAGTTGGTTCTCCTTCTGTGGTCTTGTGGCAGGCGTTCCTGTTTTCTTTTGTGGCTGGCATGATATTTGAGAGCAGCATTTTATGTTTTTGGCTTGCATAATTGTAGAATCATATGGAGAATCTAGGGTGAGACCAAAAGATCGCGGACATTTTGTTTTTTTACATTCCTTGGCATTTCTACGGCAGCTTGCAGGCACAAGTTGGAGTAAAAAGGCTCAATGTCAAATTTTAGAGGGAAGTGGGGCGCAGTGGACTGGACGAGGGCAATGGGAAATCATGGAAGGAGACGGTTTGTTTAATCAATGTGTGCCGCTGGCTTGGGCTTCGGTGCATGCGCCCTGGCGTCTTTTCAGTTTTCACTCCATCCTTTAGCTCCTTCGGCATACTGATCACGACCTTGTTGGCCTCAAACCGAGCCTCAACAGTTCACAGCAGCTCGCAGCTCGCAGCTCGCACCAGCTCCCCAATACACAGCAGCCCAAAAACGACCGAGACCGAGTCTTAACCGATTCCACCAGTCCCAAAACCGATCCTAATCTTTGGACCAACTTGAAAGCAACCCAATCCAAGGGTTGTCTTGCTACAAGCCTCCTAAGCCGACCTGATCGCCTCTGGAATGTTCCACCCTGAATCTTTTTGATCATTTCCAAGAAGTGCATTTAGGCCGGCGTACTTGCAAAGATGACACTCGGCTACTTGCAAACAAAACACTGGACTAGTGCTGCCTGGGGCCAAGAAACATGAGAGTACATCTCACAGCTATACGTGTCTACAAGTGTTGATTGCGAATTACAACAGTTCCCAACACATGCTGTTTACACACTATGTGTTGATATCAGAGGTGTCATTAGTTCATTTGTGCAGGCGTCAGAGCGCATTGATGGTTCCAGCCTGAGGATGAGGATGTTCCAACACGGTTCAAATTCTGTCTTTGTGCTGAGGCGAAAGAGGCCGGTTTGGCCTTGCAATCGAGGCCTTGGACGTTGAGCTGACCCGCTCAGCTCTGGCCAGTTGTAAAACAGGCACATGCAGCAATGGCGAGATCAGAAGGGCGGTGGAAGCATCACCGAGTTATGACCTTAGATGTATCCATCGCAATGAGGGGGACCTTGCTAAATGAATGGTCGAGTTGATGTCCCCCAACAGCTTACAAAGTCTGACATGCTAAGGTTTTCAAATCGAGCCAACCCTTTGACATTTTGATCTTGTACGCTGATGGTCTTCCAGTTTCTTTCACACTTATTAGGCAAGATCCGGACATGTTACCCTTGTATGTTGAAGCATTCTATGCAACTGCTCCAACTTGCATCTCTGCTTGCCAGCAGCTGTGAAGCCGAACGAAGCTGGTACAGTTGTTGTGGCCGAGGATGGCATTGAAGGGCAGGATGACGGTGAGGGCCGGGCATGCACCGAAGAAGACTTCAATGCTATTAAATGCTGTCTTGTCCAGCCAGCTCAGTGACTCGCAAGGCCAACCGCCCAGCCCGTCTAGAAAGACAGTTTATATCTCAGTGAACAAGTTGCATTGCAAGGAGCAAATTGTGCTAAGTGCGCTTGCCTAGGCCTGGCACAATCCACCCAGTGATGCTTGGGGTTCCCCACACAATGCATTGGCGCTACACTTGATGTGCCATCTCTGCTAGTAACCAGCATATCTGACTTTGGGCAAGTGCAGAAATGCTTATCGGAAAGACCAAGGACAGAGCAGATGGCGCTGTCACATAGGCTTGGCTGGATGCACATATCACAGATAGTAGTTTAGGACACGGTGTTGCCAGTGCTGATGCTGATTGCGCTGTTGCTGGCTCCCAGGCAAGTTTCACCTTTATAACCACTATACATCATGGATGTACAGACATAGACAATGCGCAGAGTGCCACGTTGGTTGCTAGTGAAAAGGAAAAGGCACGTGCAGAACCAGAGCAAATTTGAGAAAGCTTATACCTCCCTGCACAGACAGTACACATCTGATGGTTTTCAAAGAGCAATGCTTTCATTCCGAGAGGCTGGGCTTCGAGCGTTCCCACGTCTCACGTCTCAGGGCTGACTCAACATGATTTTGTGCACTGACGAGGCTTTAGCAGAAGATGAATTTCCAGCTGTGCCTCAAGCTTGGCAAGAGTGAACGTCGTACTCGCGCTGAACACGGTCAATCTGATCCGGTTCCCCTTGAGCCCAAAATGAGGTGCCCACCTGGCGAGAACGACCTTGATCCCAGTGACTGCTGGGATGTGGATTTTTCGCTGGAGGCTGCTGAATTTGCACTTGCTGCTACCTTGGTGCCGGATCGCGAAGTTTCTTGCATGAACAACACAATCTTGGGGGTTCTCGGAAGAGCACATTGGCGAGTCCCGGGAAGTCGTACTAGCGGTTGCCCTAAGTCGTGGCGGCGACCAAAAGTCGTGGCGGGCTGCGTGCCGCCAATGTATTGCATCTTTTTGCGCAGTTAGGTTTGGTCTAATATTTTCATCATAGTGTGATTTCACTGCGTGCCCGCATGCTTTTCGAACTTTCGAGTGTCGTTTTGGGTCGAGGCCTGGTATGACCATTCTGTTGGTGTGCCCTTGTGTTTGCGCTCAATCCTTGTCGTGTGTTTGTTTTGGGGACGTTGTCCTGAGCAGGCGTCCCCATGCAGTTTTGTTGCGAATCACATGATCCAGTAGAGGAATGTTCTGAGCATGTGGTTGCTGTCCCGTTGTGTTTCCGCCCAACTGGCGCTGCCTTTGCTTTGGGGAAGTCGTCCTGATCGGGTGCCCCCATGCAGTTTTGTTACCCAACGCGTGCTCCTGCGCTTGCGGGTAGAGGCATGTTCTGACCACTTGGTTGGTTTTGCTTGCTTTTGCTTGCTTTTGCTTGCTTTTGCTTGCCTTTGCTTGCTTTTGCTTGCTTGCTTGCTTGCTTGCTTGCTTGCTTGCTTGCTTGCTTGCTTGCTGGCTTGCTCGCTCGCTCGCTCGCTCGCTTGCTTGCTTGCTTGCTTGCTTGCTTGCTTGCTCGCGCTTGCTTGCTTGCTTGCTTGCTTGTGCTTGCTCGTGCTTGCTTCTGCTTGCTTGCTTGCTTGCTTGCTTGCTTGCTTGCTTGTGCTTGCTCGTGCTTGCTTCTGCTTGCTTGCGCTTGCTTGTGCTTGCTCGTGCTTGCTCGTGCTTGCTTGTGCTTGCTCGTGCTTGCTCGTGCTTGCTTGTGCTTGCTTGCGCTTGCTTTTGCTTGCTTGTGCTTGCTTTTGCTTGCTCTTGCTTGCTTGCTTGCTGGCTGGCTGGCTGGCTGGCTGGCTGGCTGGCTGGCTGGCTTGCTTGCTTGCTTGTTTTCGGTTCATGTGGACCATTGGCTTGTCCGGCCAACTATGGACCTCGCCTGGACCTCGCCTGGACCTCGCCTGGACCTCGCCTGGACCTCGCCTGGAAGCCATGTTCAAGATAGTGTTTCAACAATCTTTTTGCTGGGAGCTAGGGTGTCTTTTCATTAAGGGGTGACTAGTAGAGAAGCATAAGTCACACATCTTTAATTAAGCGTTTGTTCCAAGGGTCTTGTGGCTGCATTTTGAACCATCAAACGATGGTTTTGAAGGTTTTCAGACATTCCAATGTTGCACTTTGACATGCGATGTGCCATGCGGATTTGCACCACGTGCTCTGACTTTTGGCATGCAGAAACTGCGTTGTGAACCATCAAACGTATGGTTTTGAAGGTTTCAGACATTCCAATGTTGCACTTTGACATGCGATGCGCCATTCGGATTTGCACCACGTGCTCTGACTTTTGGCGCGCAGAAACTGCATTTTGAACCATTAAACGTAGGGTTTTGAAGGTTTCAGACATTCCAATGTTGCACTTTGACATGCGATGTGCCACGCGGATTTGCACCACGTGCTCTGACATTCGGCGCCCTGCCGTGACTTTCGGTTTTACGCGTGCCCCATGCGCGGTTGGGGTGCCTGCAGTGACTTCCGGCCCCCTGCTCTGACTTAGGGCGGGCGCCAAGTACATAATTCGGAAGAAAAACAATTAGCCTAAATCGTAAAAAAACGCACCATTTTTCATTTTCTTTTTACGATGCTTTGTCTTTTTTGAACGAATTTCGGCACCCCCTGCCTTCGGGTGGGAGAAGTGTGTGTTGGAGGAGGGAGGGCTTGACGGTTCAACGTGTAACACATGTAATGAATCGTACATGTTGCGGAAATCATATTGAACATTGTAAATGCGAATCATAAAGAAACCTACAAAACCATGAGCAAATAATCAGGACAACGCCAGTTAGGCTGACAGCGCAGGTCCCAATTCAAGGGATCTTGGGTGAAGTGTTGGATAAGAAGCCTCGTTGTCAAACAAGGTTTCGCGCGTGCTCAGAGTCATGGTGGTGATTATTGGGTTTGCTTTGAGCAAATGCTGGCAAAGCGTATTTTGTGCAAACTAGCATTTCCCATTGAGCGTAGTCATAAAGCAGTCACACGCGCAATGCTGTATGAAGTTTTGCCCGCGGCGAGCTGTTGGTTGCATGACGCTCTCGTGACGCCAGGAAGCTGTGCGCCCGGAGATCCGACTCTATGCAGGGGCTGAAAGCTTGGAAGTTGTGCCGACACATCCTTCTGCCTGACACTGCCTAAGACGCGGCCGGATGTGACGCTTTGCTGCAATGGCCGGAAGCTGCTGGCGCATCGGCGAATACTCTCTGAGGCCGGTGCCCATGTGACCGTAATACTTGCAACGAAGCGAGTGGATATGTCCAGGTCAGCTACTTTGAGTCCCTATTTCAAGGTAGCTTCGCAGAGCGGGGAACAGATCTTCTTACAATCGATGAGGCGGCTTGTGCAGTCGCACAGCAGCCGATGTACACTGCGCTAGGATTTGGATGCTTTGATCGAAGTTATCCGATGGATCTACTGCCGAAGTGCCACAAGTGACAAGGAGCCACAGTTGCGAGGGTCGTAGCGTGTTTCGCAAGCAAACCGCTCCAGGATAGAGCGTTTGACCTGCTGCGCTTGGCGGAGTTCTATGGCATTGCCCGCGCCTTATGGCATTTATGTTGTTTGTAGCAGCAGCTTGAGCACTTGTTGGAAGATTGCACTCGGGCTGGGTGGCTTGTGTTCCAAGCACCGTGCCAAACGGCGGGAACTTTCAGGATGGGCTAATTGACCATGCAGCGAGGGTCTTGGCATCCCCCGCACTCAGTGCCAGGCTCAGTTAGTATAATGCTTGCCAACCCATTCTGGCAACATCGAGATGCATGTGTATAAATGAGATGCACATCTAATCTAGACATTTGGCACAAGCCGCTTTGCATGATCATTGTAGTGGAATACTTCTCTCGTCTTCTCGATCTTCACCACCCCCTTTCTTTTTCTTGATGGTACTTCTCCTGGTCTGCCTGTACCAGCTCCATACTGCATTTGGCACAAGCAGACCCTGGCTCTAATGTCAGGAGTGCCCATGGCCATTGAGCGGGCAATTTGTCATTTTCCATGTTTCCATGTGTTCCATGTTTTTCATGTTTTCCTGCTTCACTGCGCTTTCTTCTTTTCATGGTGGAGCTCCTCCTGGCCGGATCAACTTCTTGTAGCTTCACACTGGTTCATGGCCACTTTTCCACCCTCGCTTTGTCACTCCCTCCCGCTTGCGGGTGCAACGTTGCCGGCATCAGGCCTTCACACACAGGGCGCGTCAGAGAGGATTGACGGGAGACAACAGCCATTGCTCAAGTGGTCACGAATCCCACAGCGCGTGCGGATGGGTGAATCGTAAAATGGGGCAGGCACTGCATGACACTTAGGAAGGAGAAAAGGGTGGGCTGAGTGAATGGAGGAATGGAGTTGTAGGTGGATGGATGATTGGATGTGCGCACACGCGCGCGCGCGGGTGTGTGTGTGTGTGTCCCTTCCTGTTTCCAAGGATTTTTGCATATGCCGCTTTTGGTAATTCGCTGCATGTTTCAAGAGTCATGCAAGCTTTTCAGCATGCAGAGAGGGTCGGTTTTTCTTTTTTCTGTTTCCGGAGTCTATGACAATCCACCGGGCGTCATACTGACGAGCCCGACCTGGTAGATGGGGCGAAACTCCAATGTTTGCGTGCGCTTGGGCCAATGTGGCAGCTAGTGGCGCTACGATTTGAAAACCTTTTTCGTAGTTTGCAATTGGCCCACACTTTCCCGAAGATTGGCTGCTTGATGACCCTTGGAGAAAATCTCTGCAGACCAGCTTTGCTGGGACACAAGTGTGACCAGGTAAGCTTTCTGTCCTAGCGCCCATCTCGATCCGGCTGCTGATCTCCACCAGTTCGTTGCCCTTTAATGCTTTCCCGCTGTTCGTCTCCTGACACACAGCATTGCGCTGTCGACAGGCCCACAGTTTACCGTGAATAACTTGATGCTTGAGAAGGGCTGAGGATTCCCTCCAGTTCGTCAGCTCCCAGTTTGAGTAGGGCTGGAAGTTTACCGGTGTCTTGACACCAGACTACCAGCTCCCAGTTCAGGTGCTTTGAGGCCGCTGTTGCTTTAAGTGACAACTTTGATCGTGAGCTTTCCCGTTTCCGGTTCTTTCCGTGCTACTTTTTGCCTACGCAATCATTGAGCTCCAACAATGGATCCCGCTCAATTGTTGGGATCAAACTAGGACTCAAGGCTTCTTCGGCCTTGCTTTTCATCCACGTTGTCTCTACACCAGTTTTAAAAACTGGGCTTTCAATTTTCTCCGGCCTTATCATGTCACGTCCTGCTGCTCGAATTGGGCTTGCAGTTCTTCGTATCAAGCTTTTCATCGCGGGTAGCAGCAATGCCTGACCTACCTGCGGTGCTAAAAATGGACGTGCAGCTCAGCTACACAGCGGATGCTACTCAGGCAGTGATGCAATGGCTTCAATCCTGCCCGGGATCCGTGCGGTTTCCCAAGGCACCGCCACCCAAGCCAACACCTCAGGCGAAGTCTTCCGCTAAGGCTCCTGCTCAGGCAACATTGCCTACCAATCCTACTTTTGCACCGGCAAGTTCCTCTACCGCTGGGCCTCAGCCGTTTTACGTGCTCACTGCCCAGCCATATGTGAGCCCGACCTGACAGGTCGACCAGTCAGAGATCTTCTCGAAAGAGGCGCAGGCGAAGCCCAACGCCCAAGAACCGACGTAGGTCGCGGTCTCATGTGCGACGGCGACATCGGCGCAGGTCCCCTGCCCCAGGGCAAAGAATTGCTCCTGGGTCCTGGTCTTCGCCGGCAGAAGCTCAGCTTTTGCCAGCACCAACTAGTGCGCCACCATTGGAGCCAAAAGCCAAAGGCCCTCCTTTGTTGTCGTCGGCGTCGCACTTGGTTTTTCCCCCCGCTGTTTGGTCTCCGGTCCCTGAACTGAAGAGGTTGCATCAGCCTGTAGCAGCACAAAATCTGAATTCACACTCGGATCCTCGGCCTTTTTCCATTTGGAAAATGCAGGATTCGATTTCTGCACTACTCCAGCAGCAGATGGCTGTGAGTCATCCGGTTTCCCGGGAGTTTTTGCAGTATGTGACCAGTGTGTTGCACACTGCCAAAATTTAGGGCTGACTCCTTGGGAGCGTTGGTTCTGAAAAAAGCCGAGCCCCAAGCCTGGAATCTGCAGAATGCACCGACAGAGGCATTTTTCTACCAACTAATGTTGGATGGTCTGGCGCAGCGGTCACCAAACCCGCCGCCGCCGCTACCGCAGTATGATCAGCCACTAGTGAGGTTTTTGCACGCCACCCGCCCAAGAGGCATTGCCGGAATTTTGACTGAGGCGCGCGTACGCCCGTCTGCGTCGCAGTATCCACAGTCACAGTCCTTTTTCGGCATTGGGCACAAAGTAGAGCACGACAGTGTTTGGAACGCTTCTTCGTTCGGCCGCTGTTTATATTCGGCCAACAAGATGCACAAGAATTCGTCCGCCTTATTAGCGGTGGGGGTAGCCTACGGGCCATATTCCACCCAGAAATTCGGAGGTGAACAGCTGGCCATGGACAAGACTGTTGGCGGCGGAGTCGTCAACTATGGCGGCGTGCTTGTTATCAGTTGCAAGACACATCAAGTCACATCTCTTGCATGGTCGGTGGACGCAAAACCGCCCGACCTAGGGTAAGCTGAAGTTCCCGCGCTCGGTTCTTTAAAGAGGGATTTCGCAACACAGCTCGTATGCACTATTAAAAGTGCGAGCTGCCTCTCTGTCACTTCTTGGCTGTTTGCCTTGTCACGAGTGGAATTCTTGAATTCAGCGCATGCCAGGTTGCTCCAGAATCGCAAACTGACTTTTCGCGACCTGCAGCTTTTGCAACTCTCAAGTCTAACTTGGGACAAGATAGACAAGGTGTCGCCATGTCATGGTGGCAATCATCAGACTGGGGCAGCAGTGCAGCCTCTTGGCACCCCCGTGAATACTGATTCGTGGCACTCCCCCTGCGCCGGTTGCACCGCCTCAGCCGGCCCAGCATGCTCATGCCCACTTGTGGAGTGGCGCGGCAAAGCCCGCCAGGCCGGTTGTTAGCATCCCAGATTCTGAGTTGCCGAAGCAACTCAAACCAGATGCAGAGCATCTTGATACTGCAACACCGGCTCTTCTTCTTACAGTTGCGCCATCAAGTTGGTCTCGAAAACATTGCCGGCCGGCCTACCAATTGACCAAGTCCCCGTTTCAATGTTGGCTCGGGGTGGGATCTGTGAGTACGCCATGCGTCCACTATCCCAAGGACGACACACGGGAGTAATTTTCACGCGCACGGTAGCTGAGAGTGTGATGCTTGCCCGGGTGCTTCACTATCTTCGTGAGCAATCTTGGGGCATTGATTCCACTTCCAGCAAAATGTGGGCTGAACGTCAAAAACGGAAGCAGCTTCCGAATTCATGGACCCACTCGCTGTGCGGAAATTGCCCGATACAAGGCAAAGGGTGTTGTTCTCACACCCCGCAAGACAAAGCTTGCTGATGTTCCTTTGAGGGGCCGTCTGAAGCCTTGGAACCACCTGCCAAGGCCAGATTGGGCCTTGCCTTTGAGCAGTTGTTGGTTCCCACCACTGCGATTTTTGGCCATACTCTTCCTGCTGCCCCTGCTGATGCCAAAGGTGTCAAGCCGTGGCTTTCAGAGTTTCGCAGTGGATTGCCAAAGGATCGACAGATCAAGTTTGATGGTCACTGCAAGAAAGTGACTGACATGTTGCCTGGAGTCAAGAAACCGGAGTTGCAAGCTGCAGTCATTCGCTGGGGCTTGGACTTCAAAGACTAGCCAATGTCATTCTGAGAGACCAAGGTATTACATCGATAAAACCGTTCGTAGACCTCCATGGCCTCATGCTGGCTGCAATATTCCTTTTGCTGGAAGCCACTGCGGTACATCGGGATCATTTGGTGTGGACAGCCGCGCTTGCTTTTCTCGTTTTGCTTTCTCGTGCACCTAATTTGTCAAAACGCGACTTGATTAACACATTTTCAAGCGAAGACAGTCAAGCCGACTCCCTCAGCGGCTAGTGGGTGTTTGTGCGTGTCCCTGCCCAAGGGTTTCGCATATGCTGTTTCTGGTCATTCGCTGCATGGTTCAAACGTCAGGTTCCTGCCCTTTCCAGCGCGGCCATGCGGGCCAACAAGTTCTTGATGAACTTCTTTTTCAAATCATAAGACCGAAACCAGTCAGGCCGACCGCTTCAGCGGGTCGTGTGTGTGTGTCCCTTCCTGTTTCCAAGGATTTTTGCATATGCGGCTTTTGGTAATTCGCTGCATGTTTCAAGAGTCATGCAAACTTTTCAACATGCAGAGAAAATCGCTTTTTCTTTTTCTGTTTCCGGAGTTTATGACAACCCACCGGGCGTCATACTGACGAGCCCGACCTGGTGGATGGGGCGAAACTCCAATGTTTGCGTGCACTTGGGCCAATGTGGCAGCTAGTGGCGCTACGATTTGAACTCAACCTTTTTCGTAGTTTGCAATTGGCCCACAGTTTCCCGAAGATTGGCTGCATTGATGACCCTTGGAGAAAATCTCTGCAGACCAGCTTTGCTGGGACACAAGTGTGTGTGCGTTTTGCTGTGTTTGTGTGTGTTTGTGTGTGTGTGTGTGTCTGTGTGTCTGTGTGTCTGTGTGTCGGTGTGTCTGTGTGTCTGTGTGTCTGTGTGTCTGTGTGTCTGTGTGTCTGTGTGTCTGTGTGTCTGTGTGTCTGTGTGTCTGTGCGTCTGTGTGTCTGTGCGTCTGTGCGTCTGTGTCTGTCTGTGTGTGTCTGTGTGTGTTTGTGTGTATGTGTGTGTGTGCGGGTTTGTATATATATATATATGTATTTATATGAGGCTTGTGGATATGGTGCCAGTGCACACGGGTTGTCAAGAACATTTGGTAAGGCATGGGTGCAGAGGGCGACGAACAGCAAGATCCACTGGCTTTGCTTGAGGAGTCAGCTCGGAGCAATCGACTCTGAAGTTGCACGGCATGGCGCATTGGGCAATTGAATGCAATTGACCGCTCGGTTTTGGTCCGGAGGAGCTGCCTGATGGCACGTCCGAGGTGAATGCCACGAGCTCAGCAAAACACCTAGACGGGAGGTGGATGTTTCCTAGACGGGACTGTAACTTACTTACTGGAAGCGTGCATTTTCTACCCAGGTCTGCCTGGAAGCTGAACGCCCGCCCACAAAGATGAAGGACGTTTAGTAGTTCGTGCTCGGATCCTGCTGAGAGGAAAGGGCCATTTCAACAGCTGCCACTTCTCGTACACGGTGCAGACGTGGAATGTGTTTGGATTCGGCCCAGCCGTGCTGGCAAAATCGAGCGACAGCAAAAGGAGAACAGCCCAGCATGCGCCAGTACTCGCACAATCTCGACTCATTTGTGACTGCACTTTGAGTGGCCGCAGGTGCTATGGCCCAACGATCTTACTGCTGCTGGCTGAACTGTCAGACCAAAAAGAGAGGAAGTAAGACCGCTCTAAACATGTCAAGATTCGGAACAGGCCGCAGATGCATGCTGAGGCCAAAATGAGCCTGCTGCTTGAGTAGCCCGCTAATGTTTCCACACCTTCTGCCGGGATGTCAGAAGCAGCACCCCGACAGGTTTTCCATCAGCTCATTGACAACAGGCTACAAACATTTTGACCTTGTGCCTTTGCATGTATTTCTCCTTAGCCTGTCGATTGTGAAAAGTGAGAGCATGCTTGGCCAAATGTTTCAGCCGAACGGCCTTTATGCTCATGGCAAGCACAAGGCTTGCATTCTTTGCATGTCTGTGCAGGGTGTCACATCTAGTCTCACCCAGCTGCCCGCAGTCTGTTGGACAGATGTAGGATGTAAGGATCTTTCTGGATACTGGCGAATTGATCTACATTGAATTCAATTGCATAGAACTAATGGCAATTTCTACTGGCCAGACTTGCGCGCGATGCCGTGCTGAGCGGGCAACTGTGCGGATTTTTGGGAAGCGGTCAAGCCGACGTTTTGAATGGCAAGGCTTTTTAAAAAAGCACGAAGTGACCCGGCACCCGGTGCCTCCGCCTAGCCTGAGTGGCATATGCCATTCAGGCTGACTTTAGAGCGGCAGGAATGAAACATTCGCACGGCGCCAAGCTAGGGTTTGCAGCATTGAGTCATTGAACATGCAACACAAGCGACCAGACCAAGAGCGAACGCCGTATGTTCTCAGAGAGCCCTGCACATCGAGCAGTTTTGCCGTTTCAGCAGGGCTCAAAATTGTGCAGTGCGTGTGCTTCGCGTTGTAGATGAAGTTCTAGCGTCTCCAAGGAGGAAATATTATGGTGCTGCACGAGAGAACGCTGCAAGCTCTGCAGAGAACCAGACTATGTCATTAAGCGAGAGCTCTGCCAATGCCCGCTTCCTTCGGGCATCAGCACATCAGGGTGCTATGAATGCGCAGCGCTCCAGTGCGCAGGGCTTGGCAAACATGCTGTGAACCCTCACGGCACTGCAAGCAAGGCAGGAACCACTTTTGGCCTCAAGCGCTGCAAGGCTTGCAGTGTCTTCGGAGTTCCACAGTCAAAGCATTGCAAACACTCTGCAGACGCATGGCAAAGCCAGCTACAAGCCGGCAGCATTTCTGTCCCGGCTCCAGTTTGCTGTGCACGCGCAAAAGTCTACTCCACAGAGCACAGCCAACAGCGTTTGGCCGTTTACCGTCCTGGAATGGTTCGGTGTAGCGGCATTAGATGCACTTCTGGCTGCCTCACTGTCCTGCATCTCTGAGTTCTCACAACAGAATCTGGCAAATGCCATTTGGACCATGGGCACCCTGACGTACTGAAGTTTGCCAGTAATGGTAGCAGTCACAGGCGCTTCTATTCAGAGCATGAAGGAGTTCATGCCACAGGGATCAGCCAACTTGGCACAGGCAGCTGCATAGCTGCTGCCTCTTGATTCCTCGGTGATGCTTGCATTGGCTGAAGAAGTCATTGACAAGTCCTGTCAATTCCAAGCCCAAAACCTGGCTAATGCTGCACAGAGCCTTGGACGTTTGGCCGTGCGTGGCAACAGGCTCTTGCAGACTGTAGGAGCTAACCTGCAGCGAAGGCAGCGATGTCCCATGGACTCACAGAACACCTCCAACATCTTCTGAACACTTGCCACTTTGCTGTCTCAGGGCCTTCCTGCAATGGATATGTCATCCAAGCAGGCAGAACCCGATCGTTTCTCTGGCCAAGATACTTCCAACACTGTGTGGTCCATGGCAACGCCCATGCCGCGGGATGAGCCTTTGCTCCATGCTCCCTCAGTTGCTGCTTCACTACAGGACATGCAGCCCCAGAATTCATCAAACAGGGCATGGGCACCAGCTACTCTGCAAGCTGCCCATGCTCCTTCGTTCGGGTTTCTGTGGTCGGCTTCAATGCCGCGCCTACCAGAGTTTGACTTGCAAGGCCTGGCCAATATCTCATGGCCTTCCACAACTTTGCAGGCTGCCAGCAAAGCTCTTTTCCTGGCCGCAGAGAATCGGCTTGAGAAGGAGTTTGAGCCTCGCGAGACCGCATCCCGTGAAGAGGCTTGCCGGTACACAAACCACATCTGCCAAATCGTTTGGTCATTCTCATTCTCAAGATGCTTGACAGACGAGCTTGGACACGTCCTCCGACATAGGTTGCTTCATGTGGGTAGAAATCTTGACAGGCGCAGTCCGCCAGAGAAGGCGGCAAAGGTTATACCTCAAGCATCACATGCCATGCCTGCCGTGCTGCTGAGACTTCGAGGGATTCTTGTAGTGCACAAGCCTCCTGGCTGGGAAGTCGATGCCAAAGGGCAGATGTCAGGAACTGGCTTGTACCTCTCCCGGTACATCCAGCACCAGGCTCCCACATCACAGGTGACGAGGTTGGCAGCCTTTGAGTATGGCTTAGTGCATAGACTTGATGTGCCAAGCTCTGGCCTCATCCTGGCTGGGACGACCTTTGAGGGTTTGGCATTGCTTCAATGGCAGATGCACACCTACGCTATTTGCCCGTTGCTCAGTCTCATGGGTCTTTTGGAACGACGGTGTTCTAAAAATTATCCCGCTGATCCAGGCCGAGAATATGCGGTACTCGTGGCAGGATGCTGGCCTGCCTCGAGACAGAGGGTCAGCATGCCGGCACGGGTCACAGTTGCGAGCCCTTCAATCTTCACTGCAGCTGCTGGTGCCAGTTTATGTTTGAAGAATCGGCTTAGATGCAGTTCTGTCATGTTACTCAGGTTCAAGACTTCTTGTCTGGCCAGAGTTTTGTAGATGAGCATGGCCGGCCAGCTGAGACACACGTGAAGGTGCGCTGGCCAGGCACCTCGAATGCTGCATTTTTATAATGTGTTTGTGCAGGTTGCTGCACACAGCCGTCTCAGCCGCGAGCTCGTCACTTGCAGTGCTGTAGAATTGCTGCCACTCAGCCAAGGCGAAGGTGATGGTGATCAAGCTAGTCTGATTATTGTGTCCATTTGCACAGGCTTGGATGCGTACAGAAATTTGATACAAGCTGCGGAGGTTGTGCGAATTGGCACTGCACTTGGCAGGTCGCAGGCATCAGATTCGTGTGCATGCACAATGGCAAGGGCATCCTACAGTGACAGACGAAAAGCCACAACCTTAGGTCTTGGAGAGTGGTTCAGCTATATGAAATGGGTGACTTGAAAAAGGCCTTCAAGTAGATGCGTGCGTGCGTCACATGTTTAGCCAAGCCATTTTTCTGGTGAGTGCAATGTTTAGCCAACAGCACAAGAAGGGCATGCAGGGAGGGCGGGAAAGAGGGAGGGCGTGTGAAGAATATACATGCATACAGCGCATGCAATTGAGGGAAATCGGAAAACTGCTTAAACGATCCATGCAATGCAGAAGGCTGGGCCTATTCTTATGTAACATGGCTGTCCAAGAAAAATGCAAGCAAAGAAGGGGATGCAGGGAATGAGTTGTGAGGAGGTACTAGTACCATTGCAGTAGGAATTTATCATGAGGGTTACTATTTATGGTAGTCTATAGTCCTTTTGGTGGGGACATGGGCGGACTAGAGCCAGAGCAACACTTGGTTCCAGCTTTCAACTTTGCTATTTGTACTGGCCATGTATTTTCAAGCAGTCTCTTGAGTATTGAACTGAAATGTTTGATCACTCCAATGCAGCAGCCAAAACTGAGGTACTCCCAGCAGCAGGTGATCCATCACAAGATAAGAGCCGTGCAAATTCTGGGCTATGGAAAGACACCTGTCACCTGTCGCCAGATCGAGATGCATGGATTAGGGATCACCAGTGTGCATGATGATCCTGCTCAATGTACAAGCTATGTTCAGTCTCAAAGCCGTCAGTCGCAATCAGTGCTCACACAGATGACGCACACATACATCCACAAGACATGTTTCGGCATAGCCCAACCACCGACCAGTCTTGTGGCGTTACGGCCGCCCCGACCTTCGAGCCGGGCTGGGCTGTCTTCAACTTTCCAGGTGCTTGTGCCTCAAGCAATGCGACACACTGCCAATCTGAGATCTCTTCACCAGGTACAACATGAAGCCAAACTTGGTGCGGCACTCGAGACATGAGACACCTTGAAAGTTGTACTGATGCGGCCCATTCCCCTGTTTGGGGATAGAGAAGATATTGAAGGTGGTACGAGTTGTACTGTTGTTCTGCATCAGTTGCAGGTAGCCAACAAAGCATGTGCAGCTCGAGTGCGCCTTCGAGAACAAGAACTAATGAAGTCGCGGATAAAGAACATGAAGCCGCAGGCGCTGCGCCATACAAAGAGTGCCTTCGGCCTTTGACGTTTTGTTGACGGCAGATCGACACCCGCCCACCAGAGACTATGGCACTGGACCACGTGAGGAATAACCTGAAGAGGGACAGCCATCCTTGCAAGCTGACTCGTGTGACAGCATTAATTCTAGCTAGAGTTTGCAGGAGCAACTTCTGGAAGAGAGGCACACCTTCCAGAGCATGATTCTGTTTGGCATACTTTGGCCTGCAAAATAGTGTGACAATTGCTGTCAGATATCATGAAATTGATCGGGACAACCGAATCCTGCTCCAAAAAATGCTGCGCTCTGAGTTCATTTGGCTCACCTCCCTGTTGTCCACGTTGTGCTAAGGTCTGATATCATGAAAACACCCTCTGTGAAATCTGGCGCTACACGTCGTGAAGCTCAGATGCCTGCCTTTGTGTATTGTATAGCTCACTGCTGAGGCTCACAGAGCGGTCCTGTTAGCATGGTCAGAGATGCTCGAAAAGCAGAGCTGTCTCGCATCACCCAGGACAGCCATTGACGGGCACCGTTTGAGACGTAGCTTTGTAAGAGGTGACAGATGCCTGAGGAAAATCATGCAATTCTCAGACGAATTCAGCAGGACTGGGTGTGTTTTTGCAGTGCAGGTCTTTCAACAACAGCCCAAAGTTCCCGACGGGATGGGGTGAGAGAACCATGTGCTCCACACAGGGCAGTCTGCTGACCATGGCATTTGGAAGAAGTGTTCCAGGATCAAGACTTGAGCCAGTTGTCCTGCACCAGGCCCAGCCTGTCTACAATCACGTGGAGTGGGATGACTCCTACCGACGCAGCTTGACATACCTCAAGCGGCTTTGGCGGAGTTTCAATCGGCGAATTTACACCTTCCGCTTCAGTGCGTTGTTTCTTGCCCTGTTGCGTCTTCTGACTTTCCTATTGCATGGTTTGCAACACAATTCCTGACCGCAGCATCCGCAGCACTGGGTTCCACCAAAGTCTCTCAAGTGCGCGCCAGTGAAGTAGGCCAGGCAACTTTGCGGCTGTCCTGGCGCTGCTTGAGAATTGTCAGAGGGACTTTGCATGGGTTTAGGTCAGAGTCCTGCCGAGGTTATGGCGTTTGAGCTACCAAGCTTGCCGGTGATTGTAGCAGGTGGGCCAAGGCCTCAACCTGGATTAGATTCGGGTGCACAAGTGGGATGCAGCGTGGGGCAGACTAAGGCTTGGGGGTCCAGCTGTGATGTTTACA